TAAATTTGTTACTTTTTCAAAAATATTTCCCCCTTTTTTATAACAAGTATATTAGTAAATTTACATACTATTACATTTTAATGATTACTGTGATTAAAACGTTTCTAATCTCACATTCAGATTTTGTCCATAGTGTTGTGCGAGTTTCTTTACATCGATGAATCGTCTATTTATAACATATGTCATATCTTTTAGTGTATCTTCAGCTTTAAAATATAATATTGATATATTAGAACATCGCCGAAATCTCCCCTCCACCCACATCACGTCTCTCCCACAAGCAAAAACAATATTTTTATCTTAACGATTACATTAAACATTTAAAAAAAATTAAAATATCACACCGCCATCGCATCGACATTTGTGTCGATAGACAAAATGTCTATAGAGAATGTCTACGGATAATATCTATCGACAAAACGACTGAGTGACAATGTTGACAATGTAAAAATATGTTTTATCAGCGTACATATGAATTTATCAACAAATTTTGAACTAGCTAGTACACATTGGTGAGACGTGTGTTGTATGTAACACAAAATACACATGCACAATGTTCGTATATGACGATTATAGCTATAACAACATATCTTTACTGTTTAAACGACATTATACGAATCATTGAACACTCAACGGACTGCTAAGTCAGAGGGGGTGAGCAATATTGGTATTCAGGTTTAAAATAAATGATTTCGCTTAAATGATTGAATGTAACATCATGAAGTACAACATAAATTGTCCTCCATTATCAACTTATTGTTTTGATATTTTCAAATCCACATTTAATATAAATGATTTGTCAATATCTAGGTATGACGTCACGCCTTAGTAATATCATACAAAAATGTACCGTGTCTATGGTTTTGACTTTTTATAAAAAGTCTTTATTTCAAGTAAACCACTATCTGTACCGCATTATTAAAATATTTAATATATTTCTATATGCTGTAAGAGTGTGTATGTGTGTCTTCACCGATAAATAACTGTAAGTCTTTAAAAATCAATTTCTATTGAGAAGAAGTCGAGAGTTATTCGTGTAATGTCGTTCAAAACACAAACAAACTGACTTAGAGAGCTTACATATATGTAAAACACGTTGTTCGTTACACAGCTATATATATATATTTATACAATACTTGTCAAGTGATATAATGTCTATCAACACTTGATAGACTTATGTCGAGTGGCTCTTAACGCTTATCTGAATTTAATGTTTATTGCTAGCTAATCATTATTTACTACCCTTATCCCAAATATATTCAAGGTCGGCGCTTAGAGTTATCTTCTTCTATTTTCCTCTTACACAAATCACTGCCAACTTGGGTATCTAACAAAAAGCTTATAAATGTTAGAGGAAGCGAACAAGGCGCTATCGCAGGCGGTTGGTAGAGAGAAAAAATGTTTTGGCATGCATCTCTCTCTGCTTTTCTCGGCTATTTTAAATGCATTCTTCAGTATTAGCCAATCAGTGCAGAGAGCAAAGAGAGATGCAAGACCAAGACAGTCTTCTTTCTCTGTCTACCGGGCGTATGCTACCATTTACAAAGGAATATAGAGGTCGCTTCCTTTATTTATATTATCTCTATGGTATCTAATAATTCTTCGTATGAAGCGGAATGCTTTTAACCACGTGTTCAGGTCAAGTTTGAAGTTAATTTTTTGGTAATAGGATATTAACGCAGTTCCACTCTGTTACATTTTCACATGTTATGAGGCACTCGGCATCATGGCTCGTAAAGTCATACTGTGAGAGGGAGGCTACGATGGCGGGACTGACGCAGTTTGGGGCGGTTTTAAAGAAGGCCTAAGGCAAACGAACAGATCTTCACCTGATGGTAACACCGCCTATAAACACCAAGGTGGGGTGGGTTTGGGCTCCGGCTCACTCACTCGGTGGAAAGCAACGAAAGAACTGCTTACAGAAAACAGGTGTTTCTGTGAGACCCTGGTATCTATGGACCCATTTGTGTCGAAGCATAGCTCTGCCACGGTTGTAGATTTATGGAACTGTACTTTAGATTTTCAATGCCTGCCTTGGTCGTGCAGTGGCAGCGTATGCGACTGCTCTGCTGAGGTCTCGGGTTCAATACCCGGGTCGGACCAAATGTTTGTATCATCTGCGAATATTTGTTTCTGAGTTTGGATGTTATCTATGTATACATACATATGTATGTATTTTATAAGTGAATCTAGGTTTCATGGTACAAGTTTTCCTTAGTTTGAAACTAGATGGCGTTGTGTGTCAGATGTCCAACAATAATTATCTACCAGACAGACTTACAATCACAGTGGCAAGTAATATATAGATATATTTATAAACGACAGTTTACAATAACAAGCACCAAACAATATATATTTTAGTCATGATTTTAAATATCAAAATTAATATTGTTTAATTAGCTGTAGTGTAGTACACTCGGGTTATTCGATTTCATCGTATTCGATGTATCCAGAATCGAATAGACATATCGAATTAATATCCCCGAGTTACCACACCACGGCGTACACAACAAGTAACGCACCATTATAATTATTTTTTTTTTAATTAAAAAAAAGTCAATATTTACAAAATAATATTCTCAATTCTAACGCAAGTTATTTATCAAAAAGAAATAATTTAAGTTATAAAATAATTCAATGAGCTCCGTAGTCTTTGACAGCATTAAAACTAGGAAATTAAAAAAATATATTAAATACAATTTTATTAACGATAAATGTTGAAATACACACAAATTGAGTGATTAGCGATTCTGATTGCTTAGCCAGAGGTCGTGGGTTCGATTCCGACATCCGAACACGGTAAGGCATACGACGATTTTAAGATCTTAATGTTTGCCAGAAAACATGTTAGCTTTTCACATACTCTCGTGTCTATCTGTGGCATCACAGCTCCTACATGTATGATCTGAATCGCATGGAATTTGAAAAGCGCTGCCTTAGTGAGTTCGATTTCCGGACCGAGCAAAATTTTATAGGTTTTTTTTGAGAGAAAAAATAGCTAAAGTTACTCCTTATATAGACAGTTACTTGGTAGTAAAATATTATCAAAATCGGTCCAGCCGTTTTGAAGATAACCCGGCACAAACAAACAGACAGACAGACAAAAATTATTTATATTGTTTTTTAGGCATAGGTATCGTATAAATAACCGTTGAAGCATGATAAAAAAAAACCTATTATTTTGACATTACAAACAGACACTTCAATTTTATTTATTTGTATAGATATATTTGTGTAGAACATAATTTAAATGTAGATTTTATTTAATATTCGTCAGTTATTTTCGTTCAACGTCTCAAGAATGTTTATTTCTCAAAAATATACATAAATCTTGATACTTAAGCTATTTAATGATGTCTGGCGTGCGCTTAACTTGTAACGAGGTGATGTCGAAAACTTCTATCGCCAATAAAATTGTACAAAACAAAAGAAACAACATGTTCAACACATTCTCTCCCTGTATAATCTATAGAATCGCATCGAAATCGGCTCAGCATTCAACACAGCCGCCTCTTTCGAAGCTGACTACGAGTCACGAGACGTAACCACGGGTAGACCTCACTCGTTAACTAGAGGTGTTCAAAACAATTGTTTATATAAACCGTTGCCATATCGATATATCGGTTTATATGTCAGTTTTTATCGATAATCGATACGTCGTTATCTTTTATCGATAATCGATGACTTAAAGCTTTTATCGATAGTCGATATGTTAATATTTTTTATTGATACGTCAATACTTTGCAAAAGACAGCAACTAAGTTCTTGAGTGGAGACCGCGTCTCGGCAAACCTAGGACGCCCACAGGAGGCCAGGTGGAGTGACGATTTGCGCAAGATGGCTGGCAAGCTAAATGCGAGAAGCCCAAAATCGATCTAAGTGGCGTGCAATGGGAGCGGCCTATGTCCAGCAGTGGACTGCGATGGGCTGATGATGAATACTTTGCAAAGCAATCCTCCTAATTCGGTGAGGGGTGTCGAGGGCAGGAGCCGCAGTCAAAGGGTTTTGATTTCGATAGTCACATACCTGTGACGGACGGTAAATCTGATTGAGGACACCTTCAAATCGAGGGTCACAGATCAGTTGAGTCTAAAACTTTTAAAAAATACTAGTTTTCTAGTAATTTTCTACAGAATTCTTCATAAGGTCGGCCCGTAATTAGTCTCGTAATTCAAAGAGGCATCTAGAAGCCGTTTAATAGTTCGAAAAAGGCAAATACCTATCTAACAAGAGATCTATAACATTATCATTTAATTATGTACCTTAAACACATCGAATTAAGGTGCAAAATATGATATCTTTTGAATTGCACGGATGTAGACAGTCGACTGGATGCGACATGTTTGGTTTGGGTGTGATCTATCGTTTTCCTAACATTTTTTTGGTAATTTTTGGGCTTTTATCACAATAAAAATGTATGTATTTGTGGCAATTTTAACCCATTATAAAGTGTGAACAATACAATTCTACAATAATATTGTAATAACATTGTACACATATACACACTTTAAATGCATAAAGATTGCTCAAGAAATCGTAGGCAAATGAAATAAAAACTACATATTTTTGGAAAAAGACGAAATATGAAAAATATTACTATAAATTTACTTATTTTATTATTTAATAAATTAAAATGTATGTGCTATATTAAGATCTTTTTTTTGTGTTAATTCATTTTTTATGTTTTATTTTTTAATTGAAAAATATAATATCAGAATGATTAAAAATAAGAGTATACTGTATTTTGTTTGATATTAAAATCGAGTATCTTTTTTAAAGCTTAACGAACACATCCAGTAGAATCACTACATCCGCGGCCCTATCAATATTATTAAGCTATTAACATCCTTACGTAAACAGAATAAGGTTTAGAATAGCCCACACCGCAGTCTCGCCGAGAGATGAAACGGTCGTACCTGCGAAGGGAATACTACTTTAGCACTCGGAAGATTCGGTGAGGTTCAAGTTCGACGGCCTGCGCGTGCAGGCGCTAGGGCGCGATGGACAGCGGCCGGAAGCGACGCGCGCGCGCCGCGTTGTGCGCAGGCGCGGGCGACGGCGGGGCCACCGGGGGGGACGCGCAGCCCCCCGCCCCCGCCGCACCGCCCCCCGCACCGCCCCCCGCACCGCCCGGCGGCGGCGAGCCCGACGACGACGAGCCGCCCGACGCGGGCGGGGACGACATCAGCAGCGCCGACACGCCGCGGGACCCACTCCGACTGCGGTACAATCATCCATCATTGGCCTTACAGAGCTAAAACATGCTTTCAGAGAGGAAAGAGACACGTATACACCGTTATGTATCATTTTATAAAGTTAATGTCGACAATATGAACGAGGCCCGACCGGCTCGTTTATGAACGCGTCCAAAGCGTTTGATCACGTTACACGTGACTTCTAATACGTGAGTGATAACTTCACGACCCATTAAAGTCATTCCGTCCATCAGAAAGCAGATCAATAAAACCTCAACATATATATTGAGTCTCTGTCGGATTTTTTAGATCTGAAGTGAAAAAAGTAAAAGTGGTATCCCACAGGGTAGCGTATTGGATCCACTACTTTTTATTTTTCATATGAACAACCTCGCGTTAACTACGAACCACATATGCCATTATTTGCTGACGACAGTACTGTGCTTTTCTAATGAACCATTAGACAAAATTTAAAGTTTAACTCTAGAAAAATAATCATATTCTGACGTACGTAAAAGATAGTCATGCGTAAAATTGGTGCATGTTTTTTTTTTATTTATTTATTTATCTCTTTATTGTTGTATACACCATTGCAGTATTATTTGTACAGATAATATATACATTTTGGTATAACAACAGGCGGTCTTATCGCTCACGGTGATTTCTTACAGACAACTTTTATACGGATATTGTCGAGAAAATTAGGGTAGCCTGCGATGTACTGGCAGGGTATTCTACAGTCGAACTGCTTGCACTTAGAAAGATTTATCAGTAAATTGTGTGGTGTGCCTGGGCATTTTTAATTTCAGATTTTAGATCTAAAGGACCTGCAATGTGAATTGTGTAAAAATTCAAAACGTTTTTTGAGATAAGATCGAGTATGTTGGAAGAACAGATTACCATTTAAGCTTAACTCGATACCCAGAGATATGATCATATTTGCGTAAGCTGAATATGAATCTGATGCAGACATTTTGGAGACGCTCAAGTTTGTTTAATTGGTCTTCGGAGAGATCTAGATAGCTAACATCACCATAGTCGAGGATGGAAAAAGAAGAAATTGTGCTAGGGCGATTTTTGTATAGGTAGAAAGAAAGTTACGAAGTCTTCGCAGAGGTCCCGTTGCAGCAAATAATTTACGACTGACCTCACCAATCTGGGGGGCCCAGGACAACAACTTGTCCATATAGATTCCCAAGTTTTTGACTTTGTCTTTATATGGAATAATGACCCATCGCAGTAGATAGCTGGCAGTTGTTACCAATTTACCGTGGAGCTCATCCTAGGACTACCTAATATAATTACATGAGTTTTAGATGGATTTACTCTTAGGCCATACTCCTTATTCCAGGTACATATTTGTATCAAATCTTTGTTAATGTCGTTGATAGCTTAAGATAGTATAGCCGGAGAAGCTTTAGCGTAAATTTGGAGATCATCTGCATAAAGGTGGTAGGAAGAAAGTAAGCGATCAGTGATGGAGTTGATAAACACTGCGAAGAGTAATGGGGATAGCACGCCGCCCTGAGGTACGCCCGCAGATGTTGTGCACCAAGAGGAATAATTAATTTCAATACAAGCACGCTGCTGGCGACCGTACAGGTAGCTATGAAACCAGTCAATTACTGATGGAGACATGTTAAGAGAGCGCAATATTCTGAGCAAGATATCAAAGTCAACGGTATTGAAAGCGTTACTGAAATCAAACAAAGCAAGGACCATTAACTTTCCGTCCTCCATGTTGGACCTGATATCCTCCGTAATATAAATAAGAGCTGTGGTAGTACTGTGGCCGGAATGTAAGCCTGATTGGAGAGGATTTAGTAGAGTAAAAAATGAATTTAACTGCGTGTAGATAAGACGTTCGAGGACTTTAGAGTAAAAAGAGAAGAATGGATATTTTACGATAGTCTGAAAGAGAAGGATTACTTTTTTTTGGGAGAGGAATAATTTGAGAACTTTCCCATGCAGTTGGAAAAACACTGTTGGATAAGAAATAGTTAAGAATATGACAAATCACAGGTAGGATTTCATCTAGGATAGGAAGTACCATATTACGGCTGATATTGTCGGTTCCTACTGCAATAGAAGTTATAGATATTACGCTCTTCTTGACATCACAAGCAGAAAATTTACTAAAACCAAACGAAGGGCAGTTAGGAGTCGGCAGAGATGAAAGATAATTTAACGTAGTAGTTTTGGTAGGCCCCCCAAAATTGGAAGGAGCAGGAAAATGTTTATTTAGGGAATTGATATCAACATTTTTAGAAGCAGAATTTGAGTGTGATTTACCGACCCCTAATGACTTGACAAATTTTCAGACTTTAGCTGGATCCATACCGGACTACCCACAATACAATGTAATTCTTAATAGTGAGTTTAAATGTTTTTTTTAAATGTGTTTTATTAGCATTTATCATTACAGTTTTACGAAAAATGAGTGATTTTGACTTTTATACTATATGAAGAACCAAAACAATATAACTTTAAAAGATTTAAATAAACAACATATTTCAATATTGGCAATTCAATATAATATCTATCACAGCGACACGTTTGCTTCACAACAGGTCTCTTCCCTAGGTGCAATGTCCAGAACACACAACCACGGATTCACGCAACTTTAAAACAAAGAACAATTTTTCAAAACCACATGCGTCAATTTTACGCATATTATCTTTCTAAGGTTAATAATATTAAACAGGGAGGATATCACATCATCAAGCAGCCAGTTCATAAGGAAACCCAAGGTCAGACGATGATGTGAATTCCAAAGATATGGAAATTTACCGCAACAATTCAAAGTCTTAAAGATTAAGACGGACTAGAGTCCAAAATTTGGACTTAAGTTGTCAGTGTGTTAGGTAACCTGGAGTGATGGTGTGCCGGTTGGCGGTGTCGGGGTCTCGCGAACCGGAGATTCAGTTCCCGGGTGGGGTCCACTGCGTATTTGTCGTTGGCGTTTTGTCGACGTCTCCGCAACGCTACGTATTCACAAGTAAAAATTTATTTATTGGACACAGAATATTATACAATACATATAATATGCGGAATATTGAATAAATGGTTAGTAATGGGTCACGGTTTAAGTATTTTTTTATCAAGCGAATGAAATTTATTTAGTGATTGGATGATTGATATTTCAGTGCAAACTTATTATGAACAAACGAACATTAAATTCTTTACACAAATAATATGAAAGAAGCAAACGGGTTATTTGATGCTAAGTGTTTTATCCCTTCCATTTAGAGAGGGGGGGGGGGAGGTCTCATCTGCCCCTAAAAATCAGGTAAGGGGAGTTTAAAGTAGGTAGGTAGTAAGCAGCAAGTGTGAGGGTGGGGGTGGGGTGGGTGTGACTGACCGGGCGTGAGGTCCGCGAGGGGCCCGTCGCCGCTCCACGAGGCGCACTTGGCCAGGCGCTGCTCGGCGCCGCACGCCACGGGGATGCGCGACGTGCTCGCGCTGCCCGTCGAGCGCTGGGGGGGGGGGGGACATCACCTGTACTCTGCGCTCATCACAGGCGCGACAGAGACACCTGCCGAGAGGGCCCTATTGTTGTCTCTTTCTAATCAGACGAACTGTGCTCTTTACGAATTGAAGAGAGACAGCAAGAGAGGGCCTCTTGGCAGCTTTTACTCTATTCTTACATCTATATGGTACAGTATATCATGTAACATGTACACGGCGACGCTGTTATATTTTTAATTGTGCTATATTTTTGATCTTCTCTCATAAGCTATCCTTTTACACTCGTTATTTCTACAAATAATTTGAATCTGTTAATTTTTTTGTAAGTGTTTAAAAATAGACAAAATTTCGAGATTCTTAAATAAATTATTTCACCTTGAACAACACGAATTGGTACATCAATAACATGCCTTATTATGCGTACAATATATTGAACAATATCAACTAAAATTCAATAAAATAAAATAAAATATGCAGTGTTAATTCAATGAATAAAGAAATAATAACATTAGAAACAAATGGCAGACTACGTCTTTCTTCCTCACTATCTCTCTCTCACACACACACCATACCTATCTCTCACTCTCTTACCATCCCAATCTCATTCTCTTACCATCACTGTGTCACTCCTCTCTCATCTCATCTAAATGATTGTAACATGACTATGTTAATTGTGCTTACGTCTCTTAAACTTTGTGAGCTGTCTCCGGCTGCGCTCACCACCTCCTTCCTGAACATCATCGTTGCTCTGGGAACAAAAACCTTTTAATATAGAAATATTTCTCAAATACTATTATTTATCATCATCAATCAAAAGGATCAAGACTGCACGGATGGCGTAGTGGTTTAAACGGTCGCCTCGCCGCTTCCTACTACGCCGAGTGTTGTGGGTTCAAACCCCACATGGGACGACACTTTGTGTGATCCACAAATTGTTGTTCTGAGTCTGGGTGTTCTTTGTGTTCGTTTCATGTATGTTTGTAAAGTCCCCCGCGACACAGGTATGTATTACTAATGCGGGAGTTCTTTTAAACACTTGTCACTCTTTGAGTTGCAGGTATACGTGGGCGGTCAGGTGGGCAACTGCTCAACATGCCCCCCTTCAAAAAAAAAAAGAAAAGACAGACAAATGCATTGATCGGAATCGAACCGGCGACCGTTGATAGTTTGAACTTTACAATAAATACATAAAGGTACAACCCACCTGTCAGGTATAGCGTCCAGTCTTGTCCTTTCCACAGCTGGACTTTGGCTCTTCTCCCCACTCCGAGTTGAAGACCTGAAGAATTGGGGGGAGGCTCTTATAATATATGTCTTAATTGGAATTGCTTGTTAAAAAAAAAATATGTGTGTGTCATCTAATCTGTGAAAGTGATTTTGTTTAAAGGGACGGAAGTGTGTAACAGATGGTAGGAAAAATGACAGATATTGCATGTCGTATTCGACTGCAGTAAAACTTGTTCATTTTTTTAAAGAGTTTATAGAAAATTAAATAAAGATGTTAAGAAAACTATAAAACTCATCTGTTTTTTTGAGCTATCATTGTATAGACTTTGTACCACAACATCATCACATCAACAGCCTTTAATAGTCCACTGCTGGACATAAGCCTCTCCTTAGAAAGGAGGTTTTGGTCTACTATACCACAACAAGCCAACAATAATATCCCTACTTGTCAATTTTTGTCACACAAATTTTAACTTTATAGCGCATATTGTTTAAAAGTGAAGTGGTTTAAGCGGTCACCTTGCTGTTTTCTACTGCGCTGAGTGTTGTGGGTTCGATCCCCACATGGGACAATACTCTACAAATTATTGTTCTGAGTCTCAGATAGAAACGATCGTGCTCATCACACAATATTTGTCCTGGGTGGGACTCGAACCCACGACCTCCGCCTTAGCAGACAGGGTCACTAACCACTAGACCATCTGGCCATCGAAAATAAATATATACGTATCTAAAATCTATGATATGCCTGTGCCGATCTACAACCGCACGTTTCCAAGCGGTTGAGCCTTATGAGAAGAAAGGGCAAACAAACTCATAGCCCACATTGCCTGATATTAGTTGCTTAGGAAAAAGTGCAGTGGAAAACTAGTAATATAATAATAAAATAATTTTTTTCTCTTTTTATTTGAGGAGGAGGGAAAAGGGTATAGGTTGTGTCTGAAATGTTGGAGAGCAGTGGACAATTTAGAGGGGGGAGGGGTTTAAGATTGTAGTAGGCAGTCTACGTCTGAGAGAGTGAGTCTGAAGATAGTTGGGGTCAGAGTGATTGGACAATGTTGTACCTCTTGTCCCGGTGGTGCTCCGTGGCGTCGTAGTATATGGAGGCGTCGTCGTGATTGACCCTGACCTCCCCGCTCACCACCGACTGGATCTTCACTGTGGACAACACTTCACAGGTCATTTGTAATACACACATCTTGTACCGAAGACCTTATTATTTACTGCCATAGATTTTGTACTAGTAGATGTAACTTTACCTTACAACCTTAGATTGTGTACTTGTAGATCTAGCGAAGTCGTTTATAGATCAATAAATAACCTAAAAATCACACCATTTCAAGTTATATAAAGAAAATACAGGCTAAAAATAGTACCTAATTTTCAGATAAAAAATTGAATTTTTTTGGAACATTAGAACATTATTTTTTCATATAAAATTGAGTATGAATCTTGAATGTTATGTATGTGTATTGCACTGTTAATTAATTTCTGTTTGCATTAAAATGATTTTATAAACAGATAAAAATTATTATTTACAAGAATATTACGCTTAGTTTATTAAAGATATAAAGGTGAGGTCGCGGTGGTAGGCTGTTCCACTCTTTGAACAAGAGGTTTTCCGTCTGGTCCAAAACCAATTGGGCATTCCCGAAATAAATTTAGTCAAAAAAAGTGGGAATGGATGATTTGTTTATGGTTCCAAATTCAAATTTTTGTTTTTTGTTTTTAAGGAAGACATAAAGGAGAATTAGCGGCGAGAACTAAACTCTATTCCGGAAACAGCGTTTAAAAAATGTTTTGATGATTGGATTATTTGTTGGCGTAAGTGTATCGTTTCTGAAGGAGTATACTTTGAAGGTGATAAAATAAATTTGGATGAATAACAAACATTTTGTGTATTATTGATCTTTTCCCGGTACTTTCTTGACAGAGTAGTATATGAGAGCGAGTAAATTTGACATGATTTGTGGTTACCGGAGTGTCCAGGCGAGGTAGAGTCTGGAGGCCTGACGACGATCTCGAGCCTACTGGAGACAGTGGGCCCTTCAGGCTCGGCGCGCGCCTCCCCCTCCTCCGGCGCGGGGGGCGCAGGAGGTACTGGTTCAGGCGGGCGGGGCGCGCTGCTCGAGGAACTTGATACACTCTGGACATAAATACATTCATATTTTTATTTTGACAGACACCTTATGCATGCCTATTTTACTTCATTTTGTCTCCCGCTTTGCTAAGGAGGGAAGTGGATTTACTGTATTTCCAACCCCTCCAATTTTCTTCTGATTAATTTCGTTGCGGGTTCCAAGACAGTTTAATTTCTTCCTGGGACTTCCCGAGTGTCATAACTCGGTGTGTTCGTGGGTCACTGCTGTGGATCCTGGTGTACAGGAGTTACAGTGGTGGGCGTGTGGGTGGGATTAGTCCCAAAAAAAAAAAAGACACTGGTACAGTGATTCGTAATGGCTGCTAGGTTAAGATTTGTGTGATGAACATACTGATTTATTCTGTGTTTGGGTGTTATTAACACGCTTATATTATCTTGGTATGTATGTAAGTAATGGACGTGATTATGTCACACTTCAAAACGTCGAATTAAATTTTAACTTTGCACTCTTATCAAGGACTGGTGACAATGCAATAATTTTAATAGTTTGTCCCATTATCCTGATCAGGATCTTCAGGATTAACGGCTTTTTTCATACCTAAAAATACAGTAGTGTCTGTTGCCACGTACTAAGTACTAAGCTACTTTTTCAGTCCTAAAATTCATCATTTTTGTTTTTTTTTTTTAAATAATTTTTGTATTAAGTAATATATCGTAAGTATGTTTATTTATTAGTAATTTGAGCTACTTTTTCAGTCCTAAAATTCATCTTTTTTTTTTAATTTTTTAAATAATTTTTGTATTAAGTAATATATCGTAAGTATGTTTATTTTTTAGTAATTTGGTTATCATAGCACAGATCCTGCTTATTTTTGGACCCGACTGTCGTGTGCGAAACGCGTGAACTTATTATTTTAGAATAGAATAGAATATTTTATTTTAAAATATGGGTAATACATGATAGGTGTTACAGTACATTGAAGCTCAACCATATTTTACCAGTGGCGAGCAAACCATTTTTTGTATTAGCCTAAGAAACATGCTTTTAGACTCAATCCGCAATACTATTAATTTTAAGTCTTAACATTAGGTAATAAAAATCAGTAATGACACAATAGTAAACATACAATACAAATTAAATAGAATATTTTTATATCCTTCGGAAGACAAGAACGAATACAGATAATTAGCCTACCCTATAGTTCTGCGGACTGGTCTGGTCCTGTAAGCGGTAGCAAGGTAGTGTACGCACCGGCAGGCTGTGAGCCCTGTGGGGGGGAGGCGGGGGCGAGGCGTCGTGCCTGGCGGCCACCCCGCGCATGACGTCGAGGCGGTAGCGCAGCGCCGAGCCGTCGCTGCCGTCGAACGAGGCCTGCTGCAGCAGCGGCGCGCGGAGCGAGCGGACGCGGGACCCTGGGGGAGTCACCAACTTAGTCTGTTGGCATCTATACGTGTGAAATTACTTGCCTTGACTGACTGAGTGAGCCTTAGGGGCTATAAACTTGACATTTTAGCAGCTCGTGCTTTTTTAAATTTCACCCTTAAAATGCTTGTATGGAAGTTTGTCATTTATAAATTAAAAAATATTAAATATGAAATAATTAATAATATATATATAAGTCCTGAAACGATTGTATTATTTATATACTTTTATATGAAATATGGTGTCGTAAGAACCGACTAAGGGAGCAAACTACGCAGGACAACAGCACTGCAAAGAGAAGGAAGACTTGAAACAAACCCTATACCAACCCGTCTGGCCAGCGTGGTATAGTAGGCCAAAACCTCCTTTCTAAGGAGAGGCTTATGTCCAGCAATAGACTATTAAAGGCTGTTGATGTGATGTGATATGAAAAAAAAATCGGCCTATAAAATATCGAAAGCAATTTTTCTGATAATTTTTTTATATAACTAACAATATTATTAATGGCAAAAACTTATCTTGTGGAATGGAGGTAACAGGCAGACGGGTCAGCTGATGGAAAGCGACTACCGTCACCCATGTAATCCAGGAGTCACAAGCGCGTTGTCAGCCTTTGATGTATATTCACTTCTGCTTGCATTTCAAGAGTTGCCGGCTCTGATACACTTCAGGCAATATTTCACGTAGCAAACGACATTTAGCAATACAAAGAGACAGGTGGGCTCACCGATGGCCGGCAGCGACCAACACCTGGGCAGGGTGGGCTGCAGCTTGGGGAAGGCGTCGATCCCCGGGATGTTCAGGCACGTCTGCTTGCGGCGGGGCGGAGCGCGCCGCGCCGGCTCCGACAGCTGGCGGGACACCCGGGCCGCGGAGGGGGCGGAGGGGGCGGAGGGAGCACAGGGGGCGGAGGGTGCAACGATAACCGAGGGCGGTGGGACCGTCGCTGGGGGGGACACCTTTTCTGTGGGCTGTTGTTGTAGGGACTGTTGTGCCTGAAAACATAAAAACAATAGAATAGTGTTAAAGGCTTTTTACGTGTAATTATGGAATTCGTATCGGGGTGAATCGGTGGGAGGGCGAAAAGATAGATTTAGTATTCCTTCGTAATAGACAACAATGAGAAGGAATTATGAGAGAAGTATAGGAAGGAGTCAGGAATTACCCGTTTTACTTTAGAGGAACCACGCTACGGCATCACGGTGAACTGGTGAATCATAAAGTTAAGAAGCACAAACAAGAAGAAAAATTTAAAAAGTATAGAAAGATAGTGTATTTACTGCTTAAATTTTTTGCAATTTAAATTGTTTTATGTACATTTTCAGAGATATAACAGCGCCATTTCCTATGTTTATATGTCTCTAACAAAATGTATAACGAAAAAAAAAGTGTGTGAGTCATCTCCGACGCAAGACTGGAGTTTAATCGTTAAGAACGATTCAGTTGCTACAAGTTATATACACATGTAAAAAGTGTGCACGATGGGTTACGCACAAAAAACGTAATGAGGTCATTCGATCACAAAATTTTACTCCTCATATTTCTTTCATACCGGGTGCCTTATATGAAAGTCGGTTCTTAAGATAAAATTGTTTGAAAGTGGATTTAAGGTCTGCTGTGTTCTGTCTCTTACTCACACACCTGTGTAAAGTTCATCTCACTCATTACATTTTTACATAATTATTACAAAATAATTGGGTCGGTGTACGGTTTATTTATCTTGATTTCATAGTTTATTTCATCATCGGCTCAACTGTAAGTCGTAGAAGTAATTCTATGCTATTTTCGCTTTTATGTAACAATATAAAATAATCAGACTGTTCATCTGTCGAGCATTTTCCAAACTAGGTCGGGGTCGGCTTTCAGCAGATCACAACCCAAAATTATCAATGTTACTTTGGTAAAATTAAAATCGGTTCGTCACTTATATGACTGTGGTATATGGCCAAATGACGGACATGACTCACGTTGAGTGCGGGCTGGTGGGTCTGGTGGGGTTGGTGGCGCTGGTCCCGCGCGGAGTGGTGCGCGTGCGCGGTGGGCGCGGAGTGCGGGCTGTGGTGCGGCTGCGCGTGGTGCTGCACGGTGTGCTGCGTGTGGTGCGTGGTGGAGTGCGTCGTGTGCAGCTGCGTGCGCGCGCCGTGGCTGCACGACGACAGCGCGCTGGTCGCGCGGGCCCCGCCACCACCACCACCACCGCCGCGGTGCTCCGGCGACTGCACATAGGATAGCAAATAACCATAGTCCCCCTGACCCGTTGAGTCCAAAAAATTATCGTTTCGTCCGAAAGCTTAGAACCTGATCGGTCAGGAGGCGGAACTCGAACGATACGTCACTGTTTTTCTTAACGCAAATGAATTATAACTATAAAATGAGCGTTACAGTAGTCGCACGTGATGTATGACATCCGAAATCTCACGTAACATCTGATGAACAACGTAAGCACCGCGCGCCGATCGGTCAAATCAAATAACGCGCACTTCCACGGCTATCTGTTACACAATTCCGTCCCCTTTTAAGAAATCACTTTCACAGATTGCGGATAATCGAGAGAGTAAATGTAACAGACCTGTGTCTATAACGGTTAGTGGATCTAGACTGCTAAGTGTGAACGTGGATTCTATGTATACGTAATATAAAGTGTCAAGGTAAAATACCCACAGGCCATAACTCCAACGGAACTAAAAGGTAATTAATTACATCGGACTCGAACCCAATAAAACCAGCGGAGGTCTTCCCTTCTTCCACGCGAAACTTATAATTCAGAGAAGTGCGCACAGAATACATGGCACCACCGTCTTAAGTCTCATTTTGTAAGGAAACGAATAACTCTGTCCAGCTCCTCCTCACAAGCGCTCATGATGGCTAGAAATAGGCTTTCTCACCGACTTCTATAAGGTCTTTTTCGGGACGGGAAGGAGTACCATTTATTTTTCAGCCTTCTGTGCCTTTTTTTTTTGTCCGTGCGGAAATCCCCGCGGATACCACCTTTTTTTTTCCGCGCGGAAATCCCCTCGGATACCACCTCCTATCGGTGGCATGTCGGACTCGAACCGACTAAAACCGCACGCCGTCTCGGGTACTAATAGCCGGGGAACCAGGTATACCCTAGAAAGGAAGTCCCTGGTGCCCCGACACACCTCGGGCCATCTACAGACGAGTAGACGACCCTCCTCATGACAGCCTTCTGTGCTTTGAACTAAGTCGGTCAAATCGGCTCAATTTCCTTCCATTCATCCATGAGCTCCTGGCAGAGTTGGAACATTTTCTCTATGTTTACAAGAGCTCCAACTTTACTGATACAATAATGATGCAAGTGATTTCGTCTCCAGGTCACGTGGTGGTCTCCAAATTAAGACCCTCAACGCTTTAAAGAAAACCCTCCGGTATCTTCTTACAACCCTAATGGCTTTACCTCGTTTCGGGCCTTTGTCTGAAACGGGTTAAAGCCATTGATGCTTTCACCAAAGTTTTGCCTAGATTGGGGCTATATAAATAGACATAATGTTATAGGGAATAAAGTTATAGGGAGGCCTTGGGTCCCCTCGCACGACTGCTGTTCTAGTGAGCTTCAGGGCCAGACTCTTAAAGGGGGACCTTATGCGGTATTTACTGTTTTTTTTTGGAGAATTATGAAAAAAAAATTGATTGAATGATGCTCCACTCAGAATGATGGTCTGAATACACTATTTCAGTATTTGTTACGACGTCCCTTACACCCTGTACATATAAATATATATATTCCCCCCCCCCCCCGTCATATTTGCAAATTTACAACAATCCTTAAAACACTACTAGTGCAGTTTGGCTCTCATCTTGGCAAAGAAGCAAAACTATTTCTGGACTGCTATCATGAAAATCTGCAGCTCTACTACACATAAGAGTCTCACCTGCAACTGTTCCTGTTTCCATTCGTTATCTGTGGTCTCCTCTGAATCATCGAACTGAGACTTCCATAGAGAGACTAAAGTTAGCGCGCCGCCTTTCGTCACCTGCAACAACACAAACATATGTTTATTTACTGTCCTGAGTTAGTCAGAACCGTCAGACTTCCCAATGGCCAGAATTATACAGTAAAGTGCAAACGACAGAATTTATTTACTACGACTGTAAAAGGGGTCCAGATTAGATCCGGTCTAAGGTTACTCCATGGTAAGTGACTACCGACGCCCATGGACACCTGATCCCAAGAGTCACATGTGCGTTTGATTTCTCCCCCCCTCAGGAATGGGGGGGGTTAACCCTTGGATCTTTGGGCACCGATCAAATATCTAGAGTGTATCTGATAGAAGAATACATATTAAATGATGGGTGATTACCTAACACACGGTCAGTTACCTGTTGCAAGGCAGACACGTTCTCATCATCCATGACGGCGAACTGCGTGTAGCTCTGATCAGCTCGAGCGCGGCCTCCTCTTCTGCCACCTGGCACACACATACAAACAAACACATGAATTTATTATTAGCGACATCTAACCGGTTTTACACCTAAACAGTTGGGGGGGGGAGAGGGGGAGGAGTATGAACTACTTTTTGTTTCGTTTTTTGACCAGTAGATGTCTCTGTCCTCATACGGGTCGGGTCCATTGATTCTTAGTCCTGTTCCGTTAGTAGTCGTATTCCATTCACCAGTTTCCTCGACGTCTTGTTAATCTTTTATCTATTCATCTTCTTTCTTCCCTGTCCGGTCTACTAACGATTATATTCCCAACAAAAGTTGTCGTCATCCAGGTGGCCGGTCATAACCCAAAGTTTTAAAAAGACAACTCCTGCACTAGGCATAAATCCTGTGTCGCGGGGGACTTTACATCCATAAAACGGACACAAAGGACACCAATTAGTGGATGACACAAAGTGTTGTTCTGAGATCGAACCCACAAAACTCAGCGCAGTAGGAACCACCTAAACCACTACACCATCCGTGCAGTCATTATACCATGTTTGGGCTTTATACTGTTTTTTTTTGGTGTAGGGGGTTTAATAATGTGTAGGAAGGCAAAAGAGTGATCGGGTCACCTGATGGTAACTGACTGCCGACGCCAATGGACATCTGCCACTCAAGAGTCCTTGCCGTCCTTTGAATCCTTTGATAAATTAATCTATGGCTTTACTCAGAACTTTTCACATATCTGCAACATAATTCTTACCTCGTTTGAAGTGTGTGTCCGAATGTACGCTGTCCACGTCAGCTACTATCCTGGGACTCACCGCATCACCTGGATCAAAAAAAAACTGTTTACAACAATTCTTACGCTACTGTAGGAGTTTAGAGATCCAGGATGAGAGCCAAGACCATCGGCCTAAGGCTACAGGCGTTGGATAAAAAAGACGTGTGGCACTCGAGGACTGCCGCGGTAAAGCTATTGCATAGCATTTTTTATCAACTTATGCAATTATAATTATTTATCTATTTTATTTATGCAGTATTTTTTTTCCTTTGATATTAATTCAAGTTACACTTTTTGAGCGTGGTGACCGATAAGAAAACATTTTTTTTTCTTTTATTAAATAAATGAGAAGTTAATATTGTTCAAAATATTTTTATTATCTTACAATACATGTAGGTTATTCAGGAATATTTATCATTGAAACTATAGGTTTATGGTAACTGAAATAAGAAACATAAGTTTGAGACTTGATATCTTCTAAATATCTGGAAAAAACCGCGTCACAACCAATGCCACCTAGAAGCGAGTTGCTGAACTAAAGAGACAAGCGTAATCAAAAAAGTCATTAAAAGTTCTGCTATTCATCGATAGATGGCGAAACTAAAAAGTATCACCACTGTGCCGGTCGAAGTGGCGGGTGTTAGGTTATTTCCGTTACGGAATTTCTGGATTCGGTCTCCACGCTCAAGGCCCGCGATAGAAGCTATACAATAGCTTAATAATAATAATATTTCACACACAGCCATCTGGTCAAAAACTAGGCAGACCCCGTGCTATGGTAATCAGACTGCAGATAAACATACTGTTACGAGCCGGGAATTCGATAAATAAAAGTGGACGGTTAATTAAGAATAATTAGAACTGTATTTATAAACACTCACTTTTACAAACAATAATTAACTATAGTACTCCTTGGTCGCACTAGAGTGTTAATCCATCATCATCATCATCAACAGCCTTTAACGGTCTACTGCTGGACATAGATCTCTTCTTAAAAATGGGGTTTTGACCCACTATACCACGCTTGCCAGACAGTTTAGTGTAAGGTTTGTTTTAAGTTTTCCCTCTATTTGCTGCCTTAGTCGGCTCTTACGACACCCACAGGATGAATAGGGGTGGTGACACTCCGTATTCCTAATCCGTTACCAAACCGATAGGTGGTGTTAATCCGCTGTGTCGTAAAACAATACTCGCCTACTGCTAGGGCTACTGAAATTACTAGAATAGTCCCGAGGATTCGATAGAACGTTCCAGTCGGAAGAATTTCTACAGAGTTCACCTATCAAATACTAGCTGACCCGCGCAACTTCGTCTGCGTCTCTCAATAGTAATAAATTTTCTCCGTTTTTGAAACATTCTTCATTGGTGCTCCGCTCTTATTGGTCTTAGTGTGATGACATATAGCCTATAGCCTTCCTCGATAAATGGGCTATCTAACACTGAAAGAATTTATCAAATCGGACCTGAGATTAGCGCGTTCAAACAAACAAACAAACTCTTCAGCTTTATAATATTAGTATAGATTCGTAATACTAATAAAAATGTTTCTAAATGGAGATCTAGCTAGTCGCACGGAACATTATAATGCCGTTTCACGGATTAGTAGAAGTCTATCTGCTCTTTCTATAATATGTAGTGGATTAGGGGAATCCCTATCTCAGAAACGAGTACTGTCCTAGGGGGATAATCATGGTACTGCAATAATGAGCTGCAAAGGATGTATATAAGGGTACAACTACCTGGTGTCGCGGGCGAGGCGGAGGCGAGCTCCTGCACGCACGTGGGTGGCGCTGTCACCACCCGCAGCCGCGCCAACGTTGGGCCGCCACCTGACATACATATACATACATATAATTATTTTTTAAAGTAAAAACTTAAAATACAATTGAACTCGCGACACTGTTACCGTTACCGACACCTCTATTTAAGTGAAAACTTCTTTAGGCATGTTGGACATTTATTGAGATGGGAAAAATACAATTGAACTCGCGACACGGTTACCGTTACCGACACCTCTATTGAAGTGAAAACTTCTTTAAGCACGTTTAGAATTTTTTGGGTTGGGCAAAAACCATTGAACTCGCGACCCTATTACCCTTACCGACACCTCTGTATATAAGTTGCCACTTCTGTCGGCTCTCCCGGAGTGTTTTTTAATAATATAGGGAGCAAACGAGTAGCCTGTCACCTGATGGTAAGTAATTACCGACACCCATGCAACTCAAGAGTCATAAGTTTGTTGCTACCCTTTGAGTCCCTCCCCCTAGAATCAGTGGGAAGGGGAGGGGCTCAGGAATTGTTCGGACTAATACCGGCCGCAACTTTCCGCCATCGCTCCACTCGGCAAAACTTTCATCCCCACTACTTGGATAACTGGCGTTCCACCCCTGTGCGCTTTTCAAGACGTTTTTTCGGAACTAGTTATCGTCTGCGGTATTTCCGGACCGATACCACCTCCAAACCTTCAAGAAAAGAACGTACTCCTTCCCCAAAGACCGGTAACGCGCTTGTGACTCCTGAGCTGCAGGTCGTTCATGGGCGCCGGTAGTCGCTTTCCATCAGGTGACCAGTATGCTCGTTTGCCTCCCCCCCCCCTCATTCCAAACTGACACTCCGGTCGAGCTGGCCCATTAGTGGCCACAAACATTATGTAGATTACATACCGGGTGCTGGCGGTCGCGGCTTGCAAGGAGGCACGCTCTGTCTCTCCGGCCTCGTGGCTGTGCCCGTCAAGGCTGAGTTGCTGGTTTCCTGCTAAGACAAACAAATTATTTCAATAAAAAATAACTTTTAATAGTTTTTCTGTACAGGGGGCAGAATTAATGTGGTAGGAGGTACTCCATCACTCGGTGAGATACAATGGTCGAATTGCTTGACAAAGGTTTTGTGTGAGGATATCACTCCGGTTGAGACCGCCCATCTATGTCGAAGAAGGGTCTTTTGGTTCTGGAATGGTGACCACGTACCGGAAGACGGACCGTGGGCAGACCTCCTACAAGGTGGTCCGACGCCCCCGTTGAATGTTGGCAGCACAGGGTCGGTTGTCGTGGTTATGTCCAACAGTGGACATCTTTCAGGTGAGATGATGATAGTTCTTCTACTTTTAAAATCAATTATATTAATTAAATAATAAATATTACCTTAGCATGTCTGTCTGGTGACGGTGCCGGCGTAGTTCTGGCCTCAGCCTCTTTGTCCGTGGTCGGTTTGTCTGTGGCGGACTGTTCGGAGACAATATAGTGTATTTTTTAACATATCGAAATTCGTCCTAATAATAAATCCTTATAATAATAATGACTTTTATTATGTTAATAACTTATTCTAAGACTTTTTCATGGACACCGAAAGACTGTCAAGACAATGGTCCCATATAAACAATATGTCAAGCTTTCCTGATAAGCCAGGAGAGTGGGGCTCGGACGATACGTCACTATTTTCTTAACGCAAATGGACTACAGGACAAATAAAATTCAAAACATTATGGCGTCAAAAAAAGTTATTCAGATTTTATTATATTCTTGAAATCTTTTATATAATAAGATGAATTGCTGCACGTTAGTCTCACTAAAACTCGGGAAGAGTTGGACCGATTTGGTTCATTTCAGTCGTATAATATTCCTAAGAGTCCAGGAAAAGTTTAAACGGTTTGTAAAATTGTGAAAATAAGAAAAAACTCAATTTAATATAATTTTTTTTTTTAATACGGGGGGACAGTTAGTAAAGACTGTTTTGCGGAAACATACATATCCGTTGAGATGCTGCGCGGCGTGTCGGGGCGAGGCGGGGTGCGCGCGCTTGTCGGGGGCGCGGTCGCGCGGGAGCGAGGGCGCGGCCGTGGCGCCCGCCCCCGCCACCCCGCCCGCCCCCGCCCCCGCCCCGCCCAGCGCGCCCGTCGTGTCCGTGCCCACCGCCGCCGTCGTGGCCTCCGTCTCCAGCCGCCGGCGCGGCTGCCACCACACAAAAACACATTATATACTGAACATCAACAGACTTCAATAATCCACTGCTGGACACAGGCCTGTCTTTAGAAAAGAAGTTTTGGCCTACTATACCACGCTGGCCAGACGGATTGGTATACGGTTTTGTTTCGTAAGAGTCGACTAAGGGAGCAAACTAGACAACAGCACTGCAAAGAGAATGAGAACTTGACCCAAACCCTATACCCACCCGTCTGGCCAGCGTGGTATAGTAGATCAACACATCTTATCTAAGAAGAGGGCCATGTCCACCAGTAGACTATTTTAGGCTGTTGATGTGATTGATAGTATAAACTTTTTTATTTATAAGGGATAATCTTTGAAACTACTGAACCGTTTCTAGAAAATTTTTACTAATATGTAGCTGCATTATCCCTAAATATTATAGGCTACAAATTATATTCATATCGTCCATATCCGGACAACAGCTAGGATAATCTCACACGAAACCCTAAACCCTAAACACAAAAATGACACAAGCTGCGAGACTAGATACGAGGCGAGTCTAAATGAGCTACGTTTGTGATACACGGGAAAATCTGGTAGTGAGTGACGCAACCTCCTACACAGAGGAGAGGAGGGCAGTATACTCACATGGTCGGGGACGCTGTCGAGCTGCACGGCGTGGTCGGGCGCGGGGTGCGCTGTGGGCCGCGTGCGGGACGCGATGGCCTACCCCACGAATAAAAGCCAATATTAAAAAATTAAAAATAGTTTCGCAGTACCTATGTATATATTACACACATATTACAAAAAAATCCATAAAAAAAAAACCAGTCGAATTGAGAACCTCCTTTCTTTTAAAGTCGGTTAAAAATACAACTTTTAGGCGAATATACCTATAGGTAGTTAATGTTAGCAACCTGAACTATACTTTATTGTTTCGTAGCAAGAGTCGATATTTATTTAAATGATTTTGTAAAGTAGTACAACTGTACTCTAGTACAAGCGTACGAAACGATAATTCCTTAGAACCTGATTGGTCAGTGGTCGGCTTGATCGATACGTCACTATTTTCTTAACGCGAATGGACTTTAGTTAACAAATTATACTATATTATGATCTTAAGCACGTTATTAAACATATAATTTTCCTTTTACTTTTTAGTCAATTATCTTATAAATAAAATAATTCTAGGTTGGAAATATCCCTGACACAGGTTTTTTCTGTTTGAAGCCTAATTTACACAAAATGAATTGGCACTTGCCACCCCTGCAATAAACGACTACATATTGTTACGGGTTCGATTCTCTTTTGTGTGCATGAACATTTAATATTTGTTAATATGTATGTATTTATAACGAAAAAGTATGTATATATGTAAAGTATGTTTATATCAGTTGTCTAGTAGTTCCATAGTACAAGCTCTGCTTACTTTTGGACTAGATGGCGTTGTGTGGATGTGGCAGAATATTATATTATATGCTTTTTAATATTACAAATAAAACTTCAAATCAAACTGTTAAGACATAAGACATTAATACAGATTTATGTAAAACCCGCTTTGTTTAGTTACACCTAACATGCCTTTTTTTGGTATAGGGGAGGCAGGCAGGGGAGGGCAGCAAACGAGCAGACGAGAACTGATGGTAAGTGAATACCGTCACACATGGACACCTACAACTCAAGAGTCCCAAGTGCGTTCAATTAGTTAAGTCCCCCCCTCCTCAAATTCAGTGGTAGGAGTGTAGGGGAGGGGGGGGGTGTTTGGGCGCCGGTAACCTCACTCACTCGGTGAAAAGTAACTAAAGAACTGCTAACACCGGTTTTCTGCGAGGTTGTGGTAATACCCGGTCGAGGTGGTACTATGGCTTATACAAAACTATTAGAAGAACGAAACGAAACGAACTTTAAGATAAGCTAAGTTCACAAAACATTGTTTTAAGCGGGTTTTACTACACATAATAAACGTATAAACAAACAGACACACACACAATCAAATCACTCCTTCGACAGTACAACATTGAATAATGTAACTATTTTATTTATATATACAAAATGTTTTTTTTCTATCGAATTTACTTTTTAATTTCTCACCCATTACTATATTCTAGAAGGCGTTTAGAACAGATAAGCCTGGAAATATTATTCCTGTTATTAATTTCATCATCTGAAATGACCCTCCCACTTACATCCCCACCACTTTTCACTGAATGTTTACGATAAGTATCTTAAATATCATCCTCGAAGCTAGGTTAGACAGAACTCAAGTACTATAGTCCATCAACGTCGTGCGCGTCCTGCGGGGTGACAGACGGTGGCGGGGACGAGGTACTCAAGATGTCAGCGGGTAGCGGGTTGTATAGCGGGGAAGGGAAACACTTCTCTTCGTGTATAGCCGTGTGCTAGAATGACGCGCTACCTCGCCCCCGCCACTGTCTGTCACCCCGCGGGACGGTCGCGCACGAGATTGCCGGGTTATAGGCGATGTCCAGTTCTGTAGATGGACTGTTCTCGGACTTCTTAGGGCTCCATCTAGCGGTAACGATTGCCATCGAAGTTCGAATGGCAACCAGGCCCCACGGCTTATCCTGCTTATCCAAGGCACGGAGGGGTCTCAATGAGATCAGAATGAGAGACAGATACGGACCTGTTGGTCTAGTGGTTAGTGACCCTGACTGCTAAGCTGGAGGTGGTGGGTTCGATTCCCACCCAAGACGAATATTGTGTGATGAGCACGGTCATTTGTTCTGTCATCTATAATATGTATGTATTAAAAAATAGTCTGGTTTCTATAGTACAGGCTCTGCCTAGTTTGGGATCAGACGGCCTTGTGTGAGATGTGTGAGGTATATATATATTTATAGAATGGTCACCCATCCATTGACTGACTTGACTAGGATTGCTTAACTTTGCAAGTGTCAATCTACACTGTACCACTTAGGCGAGCCCTTTAAGTGTCTTGTTATTGTTACAAATATCTAACGATTTAAAACAGTGGCCGTAATTTTTGTTTCTTCGATATCTTTTCAAAACCCTCTTCCATTTGGAAACGGGCGTTTTTAAACACAGGCATCCATTTTTTGATGTGTAACATCATTCGTGGCGGGACGGGAGTGTGTAACAGGAAGCCATGGAAGCGCGCGCTATTTGAATTGACCAATGAGCGTGCGGTACTAGAGTTGGCCGTCAGATGGTAGGTGACATGGCAGTTGTTACAGATCATATGTATTGACATACTGTAATCATAATTTTTAAGTAGCTGCACGTTTATTCGTTCTTTATCATTCAATCATTCTTTCGTTCGAGTGTTAATTCGTTCATTCATTCATTCACTTTTAGGCCAAATATGTAATACTACTTACATCCTTCTCCCAATCGTAAGGGTCGGTGTCCCGTATACCCCTTCTCTTGCAGCACCTCTCCAGAAGAGAGGTGAGCATCGCGTAGTCCGGCGTGTCTGCGTATTCCAGCTGCTGAACGTGTTCTAGGAACTGGCGTAGCTCGGAAGGCAAATGTTTCAGCAGCAGACGATGGTCGTATTTCTCCTTCATGAGGCCAACCTGGAAGTGAGAAAGTGAAATAAATAATTGTGAAGGAAATAGGGTGGGGGAGACTACAATAGTTGGAGGGTAGACTGGTTGTAGTTATTTTTTTTTAATACAGGGAGCGGACATATCCGTGTGGTGACGGATTAAGAATACTGAGTGTCACTAACCCTATTCATCCCGTGGGTGTCGTAAGAGCCGACAAAGGGTGCAAATTACGCAAGACAACAGCACTGCAAAGAGAAGGAAAACTTGACACAAACCCTATACCAACCCGTCTGGCCAGCGTGGTATAGTAGGCCAAAACCTCATTTCCAAGGAGAGGCTTTCCAGTAGTGGAGTATTAAAGGCTATTGATGTGATATGAATACAGGGAGCTAACAAGCACACAGGCCACTCGATGGAAAGTGACTACCGCTGAGCACAGACAGCTGCTACCCTAGTGTCACAAGTACCCGTGACCAAAAGGAACCCGTCTGCTCGTTTGCCCCCTCTTCCATAAAAGAAGGTACTTGACAGCCTTTCAGGATGCCCTTGAGTAACAGGGGTGTGGCGGTTGGTCCTCGGGTAACTCAGTAAAATGCAACATAACACTGGTTTCCTGTGAGGTCGTGGTACTCCTGCCAAGATGCATGAGCATTTACTCTTCCATGGTAACCAGTTTGGATATAGAATTAACACAGCCCAAAAATCTTTTGAAATGTACCATAAGCGAAGTATTGCAGTAATATCCGTACTGTCGCAAATAAAACAAACAAAAACTCACTTGTTCCTTGTCTTTTATCTTCCTCCAAGGCAGCTGCCCGTTGACGAACTCCACCAGCATGTAGAAGAGAGACCAGAGATCGTCGTGACGGCCCATTTCCTTATTTTTGTGAGCGTTGATCGACGCGTAACGAACGGTGCCTGGGGACAAGACATTTTTATTTAATTTCGCAACATGTAAAAACACTGCACGCTATATATAGTTAAACCGCCGTAAGCTTGGCCCTCCTGATGGTTTGGGGGACGCGGGGCGGGGATGCATTCAACCAATTAGCTAGTGCGTCGCTGTCCGCCGACAGTGACTGACGTGAAAGCATTGCTGTACGTGTTATTTTTCTTAAGACTGCTACACACGGTATTATTTTGCAACATGGATAATCTGCCGACTCTGCGTCACAAAAAGATTTAAAAACTTGCAGTTCGGCTTACAGAGGTTCTACTGTTAAAGTTCTAATAAAGAATATTTATTATTTTACTTAATTTTTTAAATTGTATCTGAATATAATTTACATGATAATAATAATGTGATTCTGATAATGTGATTTTATTAAAAATATTTTACAATAGGTATTAAATTTTACAATTAATCATAAAAACTTACAATACATGACACACACACTGACATTATAATACATGGAAATGAATTCGATTTTTATTGCATCGTGTGTAGATTAAATCTCAAACAAATAAATCTGAAGATATCGAGTTAGTACATCGTGTCATGTATAGCCGAGCGCATCACCTGCCCCGCGTCCCGCAAACCATCAGGAGGGCCAAGCTTACGGCGGTTTAAGTATAGCGAAGGTAAGCCAAAACTAGTATCCAATTATTATAAATCGCACAATGATACGAGGGTGGTCTGAGAAGTTTCCGACCTAACAAAGATACAAGACATTTTTTCAGATTTTATTTTTGAATATAGTCTCCTTGTAATTCTACACACTTCTCCCAACGATGCTCCCATTTCTGTCTCACGAAGGTGATTGCCTCTTCATTTGACGAAAATTTCTGCCCTCCGAGCGCAACTTTTACATGAGGAACAAGAGGAAGTCGCTTGGGGCTAGATCTGGCGAGTAAGGCGGATGGTCAAGCAGTTCAAACCGTTTTTCGTGGATATAAAATTGTAATTGTCGTATATCGTAATTGTCAATTTAAAAGGTTGCTTCGTCGTACGCCATCCCTACGTAGCTTGGGTTGTCCGTTGCTGGTGGTGTACTGGTGCGCGAGCCCTACACAGCTAGGGTTGTACGTAAGTGTCAGTACCTCTGAAGCCGGCGGCGGCCCTGGGCGGTCGCACCTGTCCGTTGCTGGTGGTGTACTGGCGCGCGAGCCCGAAGTCTAACATGTAGACCTTGCGACAGTTGACAGGATGACGGCCTATGCTGAAGTTGCTCTGCGAAATACGTACAAGGTACGTCATTTATTGTTAAATAAACTAAAATGCTTTTAATGTTTAGTATAGATCTATATAAAAACTAAACTAAAATTTTGTTGCCATAGGTTGGCTGCAAGAGATTGCTTTTAGCAATAAGGCCGCCCATTGTACATATCCGTCTGTAATATTTATCTAACATATTGTAATTGGTGTACAATAAAGCATATTCTATTCTAAAATACATTATACCTATAGCCCATTCACGTTAAGAAAATAGTGACGCATCGATCAATTAAATATGTGATTCATAAATGTGTCACCATTTTTTTAACGCGTATAGACTATAAAAACAATGAGAAACTTTTATGTTTTAAGTGGCAAACGAGCGAACGGTTCACCAGATGGTAAGTAGTAGTTACTTACACCGCCTATAGACCCTTACCCTTACCCTAGAATCAGGGGAGGAGGAGGGGGTGACATCACAGTCTCTGTGAGGCTGTGATATCACCCTGGTCGAGACGGCTATTTGTGGCAAAGTACGGCTCTCCCACGGCAGTCGCTTCACCCAGGAACTGGTCAGGTACATCCGAAATACTGAAAGTATTAAAATACTCACAGGTTTGATGTCTCTGTGCAGAAATCCCACTGAGTGTATAGAGTCTATCGCTTTGAGGATTTGCAATCCTAATCTGAAACATAAACATAACACAGTTAATCATAGTACTGCTCTGAGCTGAAGACCGGACAGTGTGGAGACAGCTGGTGGTCGAGTTCACCAAAACACTTCAGAACTGAGACGACCTTCAACAATGAAGCATACGACCGGGAATCATAGTACAGTTCATTAAAGAGCTTTGATTGTCTTGTTTTCTTTCATTGACCACGACTCAACAATGAAGAATACGACAGCAAAAGATGGTTTATTGAGGAAAGCCATAGATTTAGGGGGTGAGTAAGGATTGAGGAACCAGTAATCGCTAAGTAAGTTCCTCCCTCAAGTGTTGTTCTAGATGAGTGTTCTTCTAACTGCGTAAATATCCCGTTAGGTGTTCCGCAAGGATCGTTATTAGGACCACTTCTTTTCGTTATATTTATCAACGATATTGCATCTTGTTATTTCAACGGTGCGTACCTGAGCGTGGTGGAGAGCGAGAAGGCGCCGCGCGGCTGTGCGCGGCGCAGCTCGGCGAGGTTCCTGCCCTGCAGCTGCATCACCACGTAGTTGAACCGGGCGTTGCGCCCGCAGCCGATGAACCGGCACACGTGCTCCTTGCCTGCGAACGTATACATTCATAAGTATTTTCAGCTAAATAGAGGTTTTCTATTTATTACTTGGCGATTGATACCCGTGACTTTGTCCACGTGGAATTTGATATAGAAAGGTTTATCTATCATATGTAGGTACCCTGATTTCATACCTTGAAGTTTCTTCAGCACAGCCACCTCCATTTTGAGAACCTGTTTGGGCTGGCGCGCAGACTCCACCTTCAGGGCCACCTGCTCTTGCGTCACCAGGTCTAGACCCTCGTAGATCTCACCGAAGCCTCCGCCGCCGATTTTTTTCACCACCTGGAAAAACAAAGGTAGTCTCGTAGATCAACTTTGCCTGTGCTGGCAACAATGTAAATCTGGGACTGTGACGACCGTTTGAATGTCGTTTATTTTATTTTAATGATCAGTATAACCATGTTGGTTAGCACATTTCAAGGTTAAGCAATCTTGGTCAGGTCAGCTTATGGATGGGTGACCAGTATAAATTAAACTGGCATTGTACAAACTTTTCCGTGACAGATCACATATACACTCGACGTCTTACATCAGTTTTCAGTTTTAACTTTTCTGTTTTAACATTCATGAAACGGACATAAAGAATACTCAGTGTTGTCTCATGAAGGGATGGAAACCACAACACTCAGGGCAGTAGGAAGCGGTAAGATGACCGCTTAAACCACTACACCATCCTTGCAATCAATTAGTTAAGCATGGCTGATGGTTGACGCCAGCTAGACTATAGGTTGTTTGTTGTGGGTGCTGACCTTCCATCGCTCCTTAACCACGTGTCCCGGCTGCAGCAGGTCCTCGGACGCCATGGTGATGTGGTGCGCGCGACGCGAAGTGTCGCAGCGGGACGCCTCGCGGGACGCGCGCCCTCCGAAGTTTGGGAGAGTTCGGGACCTGTGGGAGGGACACCATGTTATACACTCACTAGCCAGTACAAACTTAAGAAGAAGTGAGCGGCGTGGCGACCGCTTAAACCACTACGCCATCCGTGCAGTCAAATCAAATATTTACCCAGCTTTTAAGAACTACGCATCTGACATTTCCCTAACAACTATCGAAAGTTGTAAATGGTACTGGGGCGCGCCCTCATAATGTTGCCGCATGTTAATGGTACCTCTGAATAGAAGATAGAGGGTAACGCTTTATACAATAAAGGTGGCAAAAAGCATATGGCCCGAATGAAACCGATACTTATGACGAGTTTCGTAACGCATTATTTATTTATATAGCTGCTTATGTTGTTTTTTTTTAATTCTTTATTTACAAACAAGTATAACAAAGGTGAACTTAGGCCTAAGACTCCGTTAACCTTACTCACTCGGTGGATAGTAACGAAAAAACTGCTTAAAACCGGTTCTGTGTGAGGCTCTGGTATCACTCCGGTCCAGCCGGCCCTTAAGTACCGAAACATTACTCTCCAAGGGTTGTAGCATTAAGTCCGCTACTGTACAATTTCCAAGATATAAATAAAAGAATAAAGAATCCTGCATCCATATAAAAAGGCAAGACATAACTCAGCGGTCGTCTAAATATAGTGTTTTTTGACGAAATGAAATGAAATGATATTTATTTCTGTAAGTAAATCTTTTCAGATATTTTTACAAGTCGGACTTTATAGCTAGAAGGAGCCGGCATTTCCTAAGACTCACTCTGGGAAGAAACGCCGAAACAAACCACAGAGGTGTCTTTTTTTTTTAAGTCCGTAAACAAAGTTAAATAAAACTGTGCGAGTACAGTATAGGGTCTGGATAGGCCTTTTGAGGAAAGGACCATAGTTTTGAGTCAACCTGTCCATACAGACGGCATACAGGCTCCAGCCATCGTGTAGCCTAACCGATATGGGTCAAGATCAACGACCCGAAGCATGACACTACCGCCAGCAGGACATTTGGGTAGGCCGTTTAAACACTCAAAACCACCAGAAAGATAATAAAATATGAATTAACATTACAAGCCTACACTGACAATTTCATAAGCCAGACAAAAACTGACTGACAATTTCATAAGCCTCGGGGTTACCACTGTTAGGGTAGCCCCGAGGCTTACATACTCCCGTCTTTTATCTCCAAAGAGATAGCATGGAATACACTGTGGGAGAGCCATGCTTCCGGATGAATGGGCCGACTCGACCGGAGTGATACCACGGCCTCACGGAAAACCGGTGTTAAGCAATTCTTTCGTTGCCTTTCACTGGGTGCGTGAGGTTACCGAATACCAAATCCTCCCGCTGACGCGAGCCCTCCCGCTCGCGTCAGCGGGAGGATTTGGTATGGTACTTCCAGGGCAGCAACGTACTTGTGACTTTTGAGTTGCAGGTGTCCATGAGCGGCGGTAGTTGCTTACCATCAGGTGACCCATCTGCTCGTTTGCCCAATTATACCATAAAAAAAAAGATAGAGCCTTATGAAATAAAACTCAAATTTACTTCAATAGTGGAATATAAGTACAAGTTACATAGTACAAGTGACCGTATTTAACGCCCACTTTTTGTTGTTTCAATTTTAGTTCCATTCACGATATATTGCAAATTGCAAGCCTATTGTGTATTCGTGTCGTGGATGTTATGTTATACATTTATTTATATATATTATGTATCTGCACGCGAAAATTTTATAAAAACCGTCTTTAAAACGAGTTGAATATCGTGACAATGTTGATCTCAATCGGTGCAAAACTTTTTGAGTCTTTGAAGCGTACGTACACCAACTGAACTATTTATATTAATATATATATTGTAGATGTACCCTTTCACGCTTTACTGAGGCACATTGTGATTCCAAAAAATAAGATAAAAACCATCGTTGAAGCATGTTTGCGTGAAAATTGGAGCTCAGTCTGTGCAGAAGTTTTTGTTGTTTGTTTGGTTTGTTGACAAACCAACTTAACATTTATATTTATATAGGTTTTCAAAAAGTATTTTCCATATCTATTAAGTAAATCTTACCTCAATAAAGGATTGGGTTGTACACGCGGTGCGCTGGCCGCTTCTTGGCGACGCACCTCCCTCTGGAAAAAAGAAATTTTTGATGTGTACTTGTAATTTTATGTCTTTCCTCTCGTTTTCCTACAATCTGTGGAAGTTATCTCGTAAAAAGGGACGGAAATGTGTAACAGGAAGTCGCAGAGGACGCGAAGAAGGGACCGCGCGCGCTATTTAAATTTACCAATGACCGTGCGCGGTGTTACACAGCATATATAAACTAGATGGCGTTGTGTGTTAGATGCCCGAAAAATATTATTAGGTATATGAGGCCCTAATGTGAGGCTTGCGCGTTTTTATTTAAACACTAATTACTCATTTTTATATAAATAATTATGATCCATACAGACACAATCTTAGTGTAAAGGTGAAAATGATGTTTACGAAATAAAATATTTGTTCATTTCATAGGTTTCATTCTTCAGCTATTATTCTAACTGAACTAGTATTCTTCAATACCTGGAATCATTTTATCGACTATATGGTATCTCAGTGACAATGCAACAATATTGTACCAGGGAGCTGTTCTAATAGTGAAACTAGCGAAGGGACTTGTTAACTAAACAATATAAACTTATCCAGTTTTGCCTAATTTCTTTTGTCTTGGTAAGTACTGTGGTGCTACATGATATGTTAATGGGACTGATCCCTCCCACACGTCCACCACTGTAACTCCTGTACACCAGAATCAACAGCAGTGACCCACGAACACACCGAGTTATGACTCTCGGGAAGTCCCAGGACAAAAAATTAACTGTCTTGGGACCCGCAACGAAATGCTGCATGATATCTAGGATCTGATAATAATAATAATATCGTTTATTTTCTCACCAAAACCAAAATGCATACAATGAAAATACGATTACGCTATAACATGATGATAATTAAACGGTTGTTTTAAAACCAATTTTGTACAATTAATTTACTACTAAGCTTGTTATGACAAACTCACCGGCCCCCTGACACAAGGAATTATCTTCAGCACGGTGTGTTCTATCGATTTCATATTACTTACTAATCATTTATTTCAATATATACCTATTTCACGGTCAGACCACTGTTTTAGATATACTCCTGTTTAGGTAGTAACACTTATTCATCTTAAGTCAATAACTAAAAATTTTATGTGCAATTTTTTATGTCAAAATCAATGATTAGATACATATTGACGGGCCTGTTAGTCTAGTGGTTAACGAATCTTACTGCTAAGCCAGAGGTCGTGGGTTCGATTCCCATCCTGGACAAATAATTGCGTCACATAACATAACAGTCCATTGCTGGACACAGGCCTATCCTTAGAAATGAGGTTTTGGCCTACTATATCACGATGTGGAGACGGGTTGGTAAAGGGTTTGTGTCAAGTTTTCTTTCTCTCTGCAGTGGTGTTGTCCTGCGTGGTTTTGCTCCCTTAGTCAGTTCTTACGACACTCGTGGGGCGTATAGGGGTGGTGACACACCGAACTGAACCGACTAAAACCACACGGTGTGCCACTATGCGCCTTAGATAGGAGAGATATGGTAACAGCTGTTATTAAGGCAAGTGATCTTAGCAAAGGCATGGGTAAAATGATAGTACGGCCAGGGTATCTCAGTCTTCCTTCTTAGACTTGAGATCCTGCAATTTACCAGACTGAAAAGTAATAATAATAATTTTACACACCTCACACGGCTATCTGATCCCAAACTATGCCGAGCCTGTGCTATAGTAACCAGACTGCTGATAAAAGTACTTATATAGTACTAAATACATACGTATTATAGATAAATTGAACCCATACACAACAAGGCGTTCGTGACTCCTGAGTTGCAGACGTTCATGGGCGGCGATGGTCACTTTCCATCAGGTGACCCGTCTGCTCGTCTGCCCCTTTTACATTGAAAAAAAAAACAAATGATCGAGTTTATCACACAATATTTGTCCTAGACGAGAATAGAACACTAATCTCTGGTTTAGCAGTCATTATAACTAACCACTAGACCAATAGGACCGTCAAAGCTGTTCCGATACCTACTTCTCCACCATTAGTCACAGCTCACCAGCCAAAAGAAGAAGACGATAGGTGCTTACCTGTGGTTCATGTCTCTTCGCTCGCTGTACTGGCGCGGCGGCCGATTCCGAACCCTGGGAATCTGTGTCCGCTGATGATGATGTAGATTCTGATGATAATAATTTAAATATAATGTAAATATATTTGGTTGTGTCTTATTGTGAAGATATTATGAGAAATTACATCACCATAAATGTGAACGTCAGTTTCATTCTTTTTGTTACGCTTTCTTCAGAAGCCTTATTTTTATGGTTACGGAATGGGTTGCCGGAGGACGCCATCGCGACAAGGCAAACCCTGTTGGATCTCCGGCTCCTTGGGGACGCAGGAGCCAGTAGTACGTAGTGTTTCCATTAAAAACAATCCCAACGGACGGGTTCACACGCCCTACTCTAGGAATGATCCGGGCTATGCTATTCCGGAGGAAGTAGCAAACTTACCCCCGTCAATCACTCCAATAACGAAGATCGAGTCTTAATGCGATCAGACCGCCATCCTATCCCCCTACCTTAGTTCCCCTAATCTGACCACAGCGGACTAACAGCCCGCGGCCCCGTCTTCTACGTTCGGGATAGGCCCTTGCCCGATTCTAATCAGCAGTCTCTTTCTGGAGCATTACAGCTTCATAGCAAGAGACCACAGTCATCCTCAGCCACCATCATGGCAGTAATGATTGGGACAGACGCCCGCGAAGGGCAATCTTCCAGCGTGTCCTGGGCGGAGTCCCACGAGACGACGCAGTGCTGGGATTATGCCATCCGATCCGATTGAGGTATTCACCGAAGCAACCATGCCCAGTGAGTACCTGCGTCAGTCGGTTGTCATTGCAGCATAAAGGATGGGATAGATCGAAAGTTATATTAAAAATATACAGATTTATCTAAGTGTTTAAGGTGCCCCTTTTCAAGGAGGAAAACATCCATGGACGACGTGTTACTCGTTGAAAAGTAGTCTCCGTTGGGTCCGAAACCAGTGGAATTTCTTTTTTCATGACATAGAGAGCAAATGAGCGTACCAGGGATTTTTTTTCTAGGTCACACCATTTTTCCAAGGCTACTGGTACCTAAAACGGCGTGGGGTTTTTAGTCAATTCGAGTTCGACATAACCACCCCCACCGGACGCACCGGTCCGCACCCTTTTTATCGAAAAAGGGGGCAAACGAGCAGACTTGTCACCTGATGGAAAGCCCCTGTCGCCCATGAACGCCTGGAACTCAGGATTCACAAGCGCGACAATCAATAGTCAAATTCCTGAATCCACACTTGAATAAAGCCGTGTATCACTTTTCATATATTTAAATATTTCGTGTCACGGTGACTGTGGTCACACAACTCCGAAACGGCTGGACCGCTTTTAAAGAATATTTTTTGTAAATTTGGTACGTTAGGAGAATAGGTAGTAAAATATTTTTCACTCTTAAACCCAACCCCCAGACGTTTTTATCGCTATTTGATTTCTTTGATAATTTATATGGTAAAACAACGTTTTCAGGGTCATCCATTAGTTTTTATTCTAATAATTCCTTTACTATTAACTACTAATAACTTTATTGTTTTGTTTAAAGTAGAATTACCTGATCTATTTGATTGGTGTGGCGCCTCCTGCTTGAACGACGTCTCTCTCTCGCACGCCGGCTCTTGTTCCCTGCAACAAATGAAATATAACATAAAAACACCAGCCAAGTTTGATAAACTAATAATTATAATAATATTTCGGACATCTAACACACAACGCCGTTTAGTTTCAATCTAAGCAGTGCTTGTACTATGATAACTAAATTGACTGATAAAATACTTTTATACTTTTCATAGAAAACACTCAAACTCCGAAACAAATATTCGCAGATCATACAAACATTTGGTCCGACCCGGGAATCGAACCCGAGACCTCAGCACAGCAGTCTCATACGCTACCACTGCATCACCGAAGCAGTCACCGAAACTTTTGTACAAATATTACAATAAGATCTGGGAAGGAAGGCAGGTCGAGATGAGTGCACAAAGCTCTTGTATTTTTTTTTAAAAAAAGGACATTTCCCGCATTAGGAATATATCCTGTGTCGCGGGGGACTTTACAAACAATCATGTATGTTATATATTAATAACGCGGGAATTGTCTTTTTTAAGTTAAGAGAATAATGAAACGGGCAGATTTTACTTATAATAGGCAACTCCCGCACTAGGAACTCATAGATCCTGTGTCGCGGGGCACTTTACAAACATACATGAAACACAAAGAACACCCAGACTCAGAACAACAATTTGTGGATCACACAAAGTGGTGTCCCGCGTGGGGATCGAACCCATAACAGTAGTGTAGTAGGAAGCGGTGTGGCGACCGCCTAAACGACTACACCATCCGTGCAGACAACTATCAAATAATGTGCGCTATAACGTTAAAAATTGTGTGACAAAAATTGACAAGTAGGTATATTATTGTTGACTCTTTGGAGTACAAAGTCTATGCAACGATAGCTCAAGTTAAACAGGTCAATGAAATAAAATAAGACATTCAAAACAGTCGGAATTCGACCGTCACGCGATAACTAATTACAAAACTTGGTAATTTAATAATTATGCGGTTACCGTCAAATGTTGTACAAATAGTTTTCATAACGGTCATAGAATTACAAAAATTTCGTTTGCATAAAACTGAAGAAAGCATTCCTTGGCACACCGTTCATCGTTAACATCGTATATATAATAATAATAATAAAGTTTATTTCTCTTCCACAAAGGTTCCTTAAAATTAAAACTTATAAATAAATTGAGAGTACGTTTAATTCCTTTGTGGGAGACTGGTATCCGTACTAGGTGTCCCTGTCACACAGATTACCAGGCCCCCCAGGAAAAAATTTGCTGACATAGTGACAGGTTACTATAGAATATTAAATATAGGAAAACTTAAGTATACATTTTTAAAGTACGTGAACTACTCATACGTACGTATACTTACGGCTATACATCTAAGGGGTAGGCAGAGGAGTATTAAACGACCACGTGTTTTTGTTTTACTTAATCTTTATGCATAAATGTGTCAAAGGTATTTTCTGCAAGTCGACCTTATGGCTCTGCATCGCTCTAAAGTCGATTGGTAGAAAATGGTAGAGTCACAGATATTAAAAACGTATTTTTTTAAATATAGCGTATATAGAATATCATATACCCAGTGGTAATACCAATCCAATGCAAATACAATAAATAATAATGATACTAATACACATAATATAAATTTTAGGAGAGTATAAATTTAAAGTGGATCTGATAACGTTTTCAAGTAATGTTTCCGTTACAGGTATTTGAAAGTTTGCCGAATTTTTGCCATCTTGATCGCGAGAGGTTGGACAGATACGAAGTATGAATATATGAAGTCAGAGAGAGACCATCAGTCCTAAACAAAATTACTGAGCTCGATCCTCAGTTGTCTTCATCATAGTGTTTTCCTCCCGTTTTGCACAAATCGTCACTTCACCTAGACCCAGAATGTCCACGTTTCCCTAATCTACTCCAGATATATAAAACCGGTTTTCTTATAAAAGACAGAAGGTAATCAGTGATCACTTTCGCTGGTGAAAAAAGCTTAAATATGGAGGATAGTGTTGCCATTTGAAAATTTATTTAGTTGTCATCATCATTAAATACTATCATTACAAGTTCTTTTGTGAATCAGCCAGAATGTGACCAGGGCCGATAGAATATGCCTGAGGCATTAAGTCCGCCTTATACAATTTGTTTGCAGGAAGGCTCAATAAATAAATAAATATAACCGAGAGGTCAGATTTAAGAACGTGTACATTGAAATAAAAACTTGATAATTATTATCCGATCACTTTCGATGAGGGGCGATAAGACCTGCCGTGATGGGATGTAGAAAAAGAGTCCCAGTCAGAGCCGCATATACCCAAACCATCGCCTTAATTTCCATAATATTCTTCGGTAAACTTGGCTGGTGCACCCGAAGCTCTCAGATAAAGTGGTCCACATCTAACCGAGCATTATAATCAATTAAATGACCTGAATAGATAATTCATACTCAATTTAACATTATTGATTTATTTTAATTGTAAATTATCACATCCGTTACACAAACGGAGGGGTTATTCGTAATTATGGTATACCTTAATCAACCACACAATATTGGTCTTTGATGGTGAGTGACAACCTTACTACTCTTGAGTAGTCGTCCCCAATTCCTCAGGGCCTCTTGAGACACAGAGATAATCGAGAGAGGGGGGAATAGGATTGTACTTTAAGGGCGACAACGCATGCTGAGTTCAGGTGAACCCCGGCAGACTTGGCCGCCTGTGGAGTCCTAAAGCGACCTTACTGTCATAATATGCAAGGGGCTTTATCCCCTACAATACACAGAGGGGTGTTTGGATCACGTCTCAGCCTGGTACGTCCTCTGCTAGACGTGAGAGTACACATCCTCTCCAATACTCTTTCCGCCGCATCAGCAGATAAAATATACAATATAAATACGAACGAAAGATAACGTTTAGCAATCTATAAATTTTTACTGCCGCCGAGCTATAAAAAAATTCCCTAAACTGCTTTAACGAAACGACATTATATAAAATCGATAAGTTTATTTACAGATTTGCATTATCTTATGATACAGTCAACAATTTTATTAAACGTTACGTTAACTTTGAAACGTAATATTATTATCACCTTTTTTTTTTGTTGACAGGGTAGAAAATTTCTTCGGATCTCCAGCTCCTTGGAACACAGGCCAGGATTTTGTGGCATTTTAACTAAAAACCACCACGAGGGCCGGCCTCAGGCGACCCACCTTGGCGAAGACCCGGGCCATGTGGTTTCAGGTCCCTCAAAATCGACGCCGGGCCTAAAGAGGCCCTATCCCGGGGGAGCTGCAAAACTTCGCCCCCCCCCCCCCCGCAATCAGTCCTTTTTTCGGCACACTCGGATTAAATCCTGTGTCGCTGGGGACTTTACAAACATACATGATACGGACACAAAGAACACCCAGACTTAGAACAACAATTCGTGGATCACACAAACTGTTGTCCCATTTGGGGATCGAACCCACAACACCAGTAAGAAGCGGCGAGGTGACCGCTTACACCACTACGCCATCCGTGCAGATGGTGCTAACTATATTACATAATCAGGAAGGGAAAGGAATTACCCACATTCTACACTATTAGGAGTAACTCATAACTTAATATATTGAGATAAGAAAATTTATATTTATATTGTTATTGCTTTTATATATTATGCGCGTATGTGCAACGATAAACCCTAGCGGTTATCTATAGATATGTATAAATAATAACTACGTGCTTTGTTGTCGAGCGCATAACTCGAGAACGGCTGAACCGATTCGGCAACTTTTTTAGGGATACGCTTCTGTTTTGATGAACATTTAAACTGTCAAGCAAGTTTAAAAAAATAAATAAAACTTTATTTTGTAAAAGACAGCATACAAATTGTTTTGACAGGAAAAAAACAAAAGAATACATTTTATAAGATAAGGTGGTTTTTGAGACTTAAAACTATTACACGTGCAACATAAGACGATATTATCTATCCCTGACTACGTTATCTGTGGTCATAGTCATATATGACGTGTTGCTGAAGTGGTGATCACTATAATTTTAGGTTTAGGAACCATAGAGAAGAGAAACTGTCCGTGTAGTGACGGATTAAGAATACGGAATGTCACTACCCCAATTCATCCCGTGGGTGTTGTAAGAACCGACTAAGGGCGCAAAACAACGCAGGACACCAGCACTGCAAAAAGACGGAAAACTTGACACAAACCCTACACCAACCCGCCTGGCCAGCGTGGTATAGTAGGCCAAAACCTTCTTTCTAAGGAGAGGTCTATGTCCAGCAGTGGACTATTAAAGGCTGTTGATGTGATGTGTGATGTGATGAGAGAAGAGAAACTACCTGTAGTAAATAGGCCTCTCAAGTCTGAACTACATCGATAGCTTATGTTGATGAGCGTTGTACGATGTTTACCACAAAATAGGTGGACCCTCAGCGTTTACTGATGGACAGTATCCGTCCCGGTACTGATTCTCAGTGTCCACCGTGACTGTTGACCTGACGCCGATAGCCGCAATTACCACTGGATTGTGGAGTATCACATGTATGTATTTTATTACAGAAGACCAGCTCTTGATAGCGGTTTCGATCTCATGAATATTTCTTATTTCGTATCGATGAAGTTCCATACAGCCGTTCATCCCTTATTTTACCCCCTTAATGGTGCCTATGACATACAAAGAATCAGCTGTAAAAATGTCAAGTTTGTAGCCCCAGCGGTTTAGGGTCTTCGTTGATGAATGAATCAGTCAGGGCGACTATTTTTATATGTATAGATATTAAATGGTTACATCCAGTAGAAGATATTTTACTTTTCACTACCAATCTTGTCCGTGTGGTATTTTTACCACCCACCACCCTTATTCATCGCGTGGGTGTCGTAAGCGCCGACTAAGGGAGACTGCACTGCAAAGAGAAGGAAAACTTGAAACAAACCCTATACCAACCCGTCTGGCCAGCGTGGTGTAGGAGGCTAAAAGCTCCTTTCTAAGGAGAGCCCGATGTCTAGCAGAGGACTGTTAAAGGCTGTTGTGTGTGTGTGTGTGTACCAATCTTATTTGAAACCGA